TACCCCGTCAACACACTGTAGGTGTGACAGGAATGGAATTCCTCTAGGGATTGTTGTAGTCCACTTCTCATTACTTTGGATAGGTAACATTTGTCCTACCTGTATATACTTATCCCAATACTCCAACCAACCCTAACCTGTTCTTATCAAATGGGACACCAGAGTTCCATTCCTGTCACATCAGCAACCCTTATGATATGATAAAATGGGGCACTTCCTAAGTACTCATGAAAATTTAGAACTCGGCAACAAGGTTAAATGCATGGTCGTGCAGCAAGCGATATGCAATTTTAATTAAAAATTGTTTTTAGGCGTAGCCGTGCATTTTCAATGATAACACGATAAGCGGAAAACCGTTTTACCATTTTCTGAGTCTGAAGCCTGGTTGACACTTGCGACATGTCCAGTGTAGCAATAAATAAGTATAATTTGACAGAGATTTACACCCATACTGTTAAGCTAGAGGTATGTATTCAGTATTATGATATATTAATACAGTTTCTCTTCCATCTGTTACACAACTGTAACTAACTATATCTCATGTTCTGGTTCCTACAGCCTATTCTCATTTTTTGTGGTACAAATGTATTAACCCTCAAGAGACCAAGCTATTTTACTGACTGAAATGACCAAGTGGGGTCATCTATGACCCCATTATGCTCTGTACAGGGATCCTTATTATAAAAGGCTGTTGAGGCTTTATCACACCCATACTACTCCTGGGATTTAAGACAAGTATTTTATAATGATCTAATGTAATAAGTTTTTGGTAATAATACTTTCATTGCATGAAATAACCAAGCACAGATTTTAAGAACAGCATTACGCCGGTATTTAGACAGTCATTGTCAGTTTCCACTTGCAGAAATATTTCTCTTTTTATTTGCCACACTAAATGAAAAAAGTACATTACATAATTACTTTGAGTAAAAATATTTTGATTTATGTTGTATAGGATCATGCTAACTTCAATAAGCATAATAAGCTGACATGCTGAGTAGGGGATACCCTAATGCTGGTAAGGAAGTCATACTACTCAGAACACATTCAACCAACCTACATGTATGTTACTACCGCAGCTGTGTATAAAACAAAATCCATACAAACAATTTGTTAATATATGTATAATATGATATCGACAGAATTATTTAGATTTCAGAAATACCCGAAAATTGTAACCGTCAAAATGAGAGACCCAGTTATGAGAACAAGTTCCAACAAAGCTACTGAAATTGGATTCAGCGATGCACTATTAGTAACACTTCAATCACAATCTTCACAAACCACTTATTTGTGCCTATGTTTTGGGCACACTGGCTGGTTGCATGAAGCACATGCATGTGACATTTTCCTGTCAGTGTTGCTTGGGCAAAACATTTGAATAAAATTTAAAAACTAATATGTAAAAACCAATGCTTCTCTTTGGGGTCATAAATGACCCCACAAGAGTTTTTGATGTATACGCCACACTAATTGGTTGATCACTACAAAAAACTGTGAAAGTGTGTAGGATTAGTAGACTGACAAACTCATGCAAGGAAAGAAAATTCGAATAAAAAAAAAAAAAGATGGCACATTAAATCATATGGCTGGGGTCGTAAATGACCCCACTCGGTCACTTGAGGGTTAATAAACATCATGGGTTTGATATAAATTTTAATTATTATTAAATGTAATCACTATTTACTGTAAGTACTGAAATATCTTAACTCTGCCCCACTCTTCTGCTACCACCAGCTGGCCAGCAGGGTTGATGGCTAATGCTATGGGAGAATTCAACCCATCAGCCTTAGTGGCAATGTATCTGATAAAATATCCCTGTGGACTCAGTGCCACTATCCGTCTTTTACCCCATTCAGCAATGAAGATGTGACCATTGCTGTCTGTGCACACTCCACATGGTTTCCTTAACTGGCCATTACCAACATACTGGTACAGCTGATCACCAGTAGGCGACAGCACATGTACGCAGTGTTTTACGAAGTCTGATATCACAATGTTATCATTTACACTGTTTACTGTGATGTACTGTGGATCTGCACACATATTGAGTGGAATAGTGTCCAGGAGCTGTCCACTGGCTGCATAGAATGTGAAGATGGACATCTTTCCTCTGTCACAAACCATCACATGACCTTGTCTGTTCAGTGTGATACCACGTGGATCCTCCAGTAGACCGTGACCCATGGTTGTCACCTGCTTGCCTTTGGTGGAGTACACTTTCACACATTTGTCACCCAGTGATGTCATATACATGTGACCAGTTTGTGACACTGCCACATCAAACGGATTGTTCAGTTCAATGTAAAACTTGAATTCTCCATCATGTGTGAACATTTTTGTTCTGTCATTCCCTCTCCTTCTCCAAGATTCATATCCATCCACAACATACATACAGGTATATCGCTCATCAATGGTCAATCCAGTCATTAATATTCTTCCTTTGTCATCTCCCACCACAGCACTGAAGGAACGCACACACTCTGCTTTCTCTAAGAAAACTGGAAGATTTGGTGCTGATCTTGGATTTGTTTCCAGTCCAGCTAATGGACTTTGTGACTGTACTGTCACCTGTCCTAACATGGCCTCAAGTCCGTCAGTTGATATCTCACCAGGTTTGTATGATATCTGTGCTGGTGTGTCTGGAGTTGGGACAGGTGTTTTCTCCATTGCTGCCAGTCTTTCTATCAGAGATTTTGCATGAAGCATGATTTCAGAGTCAGTGCCATTAGTGATAAGTTCCTGGGCAAAGTCACAGGCACTGTGCAAGGAAGAATGGTGAAATTCAAGGATATCTTTGTTTGCCTCCTTCTGTTTCTTTCTGACATCATAAGCAGAATTCAATTCTGATATCAATGTCTCTACCCTCTGATCAATCAATTTGTGCATAATCTGAGCTTGCTTTTTCATGTTTGTGATAGTGAGCGTCTTGATATGAGAGTCCTCTGTATCATTGGCTGTTTCCATGGCAACTGACTCTTTAAACATGTCCGTCGTTTTCATGGTTCTCACAAGAGCAGCTTTAATTTTATCTCTGTTGCATTTTGCAACTTGCTCAACTGACGAAATACGATGGCCGCTATGTTCTGTTATTATACATTCACAACATATAACAGTATCGTCATCTTCACAGTAATATTTCAATTCATTATTAAGATGTTTCTCACAACTGATGGTCATCTGTGCAATGGCCTGTGTCACTGCTGCTACAGTGGCCTGTTCCTCTTCTAATGTCTGTCCAACTTGCTGCTTGGTTATGATATCCTTGGTCTTGCTAAAGATGAAATTCTTTTTCAGTTGGTTAAGTCCACCAGCTGGAAACTGGATCTCTTCTCTACACACGGGACACAGAAATGTTCTATTTGAAGTCAGAGTGCGTGTAGCATGGTCAGATATACAACCATAACAAAATGTATGGTAGCAAGGCAGCACACGGGGGTCTTCATACTCTACCAGACAGATGTTGCATGTCAAGATATTCTCTTTGATATCTGCTGCTAGTACTTCTGCCATGACTGGCTGTCTCTTTAATTTACAAAGGGTGATTGCGCTGGTTTTGTTGCCTTTGGTATTGAATAACTCAGTCTAGAAATTGTCAAAAAATGCTTAATTTTCTCTCTACCTCACAATTCTACAGCTTTGACCGACAGAGATCACAAGTACCACTATGTCCTTTATCTGACTTACTGTCATATTTAACACGTCTGATTTTAAATTAATTCCTCAAATATCCGTCCTGTTTTTTCCTGTCCCCTTTAGAACTGTGCAAAGGTAGAGAAAAACATGGCGTTTGCTTATCACTTGACGCTGACCTCAACATAGCAGGAACATTGATTGTGTGTTGACATAGTTGCATTGTGTTTACTCTTAAGCTCAGACTATTAAAATAGAGCCAAGAATGTAGGTATTACTGTCTCGTTTTGTGTGAAGGAAACCTCTCAGGTTTTAATTGGCCATTATATGATATAACAGAGGAATATTTGATCAAAGTATATATATATATATATATATATATATATATATATATATATATATATATATATATATATATATATATATATATATAAATAGAGAGAGAGAGAGAGAGAGAGAGAGAGCTTTTGCATTATCATTATATATCAACTGCGGATTTTTTTAACATACATCTATGCAGTGCAATTATTCTTCTTATTTATTTATTAGGTAAAAAAATGTTGATAACTGATTTTTTCTTGAAGCTCACCTAAAATTAACAGCTAGCACACCAACTAAATTCGTGCCTGGTAACACAGTTGTGTTATTCTTTATCTAAGCTCAGGTTAAACAAATAAAACCATGTCTGCTGGTATTTTTATTTTGCTGTGTGGTAAAGTATGTGAAATACCTGTAAAACACCCACAGTGGCCCAGTAAATGTGACAGTCACTGCCAACACTGAGGGAAATGATATAAGTTTTCTCAATTTTTTTCCGTCATATGTAGTCTATTAGAGAATGGATTAGCAACCTCACACTTTTAACTTTGGAATAGAATCTGATCTGATCTTTAAGTGCCAAAGAAAAGAAATTTAAAGCACATTACTCACATGCACTACTTCTTGTTGAAATTATCTGAGGACTTGTGAATCTTTGAAACTATATTTCAACAGAAAAATGCCATCAATGTTGTAAAAAAATCAAATTCCCTCCTACTGACTTCCCTCACCACCACTCAAACAGCCGCATTCGGGATGTCCGTCATATAAGATGCCAGCTATTTGATTAGCGATAAATATAAAAAAACTAGCAATTACTGTTTGAAAAAGTGATTTCTGAGTGGGGTAATTAAATATCTGTTACCGTCACCCCACCCCACTGCACACACTCAATCACACATACACACGCTTTATTTAAAATCTGAGAGTTAAAAAATGCATAAAATCCTAAAGGTAGAGTTAATTGCCATTGTACAACCAGCGTAGGCGCTGACGGTACCCATGGTTTTAGTCCCGACCCGCATGTTCCGCTGGCTGCTGGGGCTCCGCCGCCACGTCACCATTACCGCTTCTCCTCCTAGACTATGAGAACCTGCAGAGACAGGTCCATAGTTACTATTGAAGTTGAATAGGACGTAATATACTGGCAATCAAACTGTGACCTTCAAATTGACCATTGACCTACTATTCACCATGAACTGAACTGGACTTTGCAACAAGTTAGTCCCTTATATCCTATAACCTAGATCTGATATATAGGGGGTATCTTTTATAATATGCTCCCTGTAATTATACTACCAATTCCTTCATACACACACACAAACACACACACACAGAGTCAGATGGACCTGTTGAACTCCCTAGTCTGGCCGTCCATAGCCACACTGTAATCATACCAATTCCTTAATACATGTGATTTCACCCCCTACAGAGTCAGATGGACCTGTTGAACTCCCTAGTCTGGCCGTCCATAGCCACACTGTAATCATACCAATTCCTTAATACACGTGATTTCACCCCCTACAGAGTCAGATGGACCTGTTGAACTCCCTAGTCTGGCCGTCCATAGCCACACTGTAATCATACCAATTCCTTAATACACGTGATTTCACCCCCTACAGAGTCAGATGGACCTGTTGAACTCCCTAGTCTGGCCGTCCATAGCCACACTGTAATCATACCAATTCCTTAATACANGAACCTGTTGAACTGCCTAGTCTGGCCGTTCATAGTCACACTGTAATTAACCATAATTGATTATTATTTTTGTTGAAATGCATTTTTCAATGTTAGTCCTGGTGAAAATCTCTCTCAAGATGAAGTGGAAAAATGTCTTATTTATTTATTATTTATGAATTAAGCATAATTCTTTGTATTTTTGTTGTAAGCTTTTTTATATAATCATTTGAATTTTGTGAGAAGAAGTAGAAAAAAATCTTGTTTGAATACACAGGCAACTCATGACAGAATGCTGAATTTCACAGCTGAAAGTCATAAAGATATCTTCTTCTGTTACAGGTGGAGAAAGCCTGGGCTCTTCTGCAGTCTCGTCTTCCAGGAAACACCTGGGGTGCCATCTGGTGTCACATTGAATGACAATTCTAAACAAAACATTTGATGCAGAAGAAAGAAAAGTGACTCAAGATAATCATACAAGGAAAGAAGCCAGATGGCTTAGAATAAGAACTGGAATTAATATCCCCTTACGGCAGAGTGACCCAATGTATTTTTAACATACTGCAGCTTACATGTACATTTCAAAGATAGGTGGCAGCAGGAGAAACTATACTAGTAGTATACTAGTAAATGATAGCAATGACTCTCTAAAAGTTGGCAAGACAGTGAATTGAAATATAATTTATTAAAATATCTCCATGTGCTGTCATTGATTAGCATATTACCAGTCCATTTTCCTTGATTTTACCATGTCTCCTATTTTGGTAAAACCTGTACAAGATCATTTAGAAAGTATCAACACCAAGTACTTATAAAGGTCTCATCATTACAATTTGAAGTTAAAAAAAGCGTCATGAATTCAGTTCTGCAATCAGTTTCTCTTCAATTAAAGCACTGCCTGAACCCAAGTTTGATTTCCAGTCATTTTCCGGAGGCGAGGGCTTTCTTGCTGAATCTGGATTTATGCCTCTTTAAAACGAGTGTTCTAATTTGTCTACTTTTCTGTCCACTTTTTTCTCAGTATCTTTTCAGCTGCCTCTCAGCACTAACACTATCTCTTTTCATTACTGTCACCCCTGGTCTTTTCAAGGTCTCTTCTTTCTGGCTATAACTTGATTTTACCATGCCTCGTGATGCGAAACGTGCTCAGTTAGATGAGGGTATGGTCCTAGTAATAAATGGGTTAATCCCAGAAATAAGACCATTTGTGCTGCAAAGGGAACCCGCCGATTTCGACTCATTGATGCATCACGTCAGAATTGCACAAAATGCAGTCCAACATTCAAGAAGAAGTCGACAGTCCGACATCAAAATGATTACAGAAAACAAAACGACACTCTAAAAAATTCCATCAGTCCTGGCCAGTAAGAAGACTGCAGTACAAATGTTACAGAACCCGAGACAGGTCCTGAATGTTGGAAACATCACGCCTACGATGGCAAGATCATTGATTTCCATATGGTTTGATGCCAATGGCATCGCGCACAGGTGCATCATCCAATGCAACTTACCGCCACGAAGGAGAATTAGAGTATAAATACTTATAAAATTGTAAGAAAAGAGGGTGGTTAATAAATGATTAAAGACTCCAGAATGTTGATGTAGTTACTATAGTAGATATCAAAAGGTTGCTTCCACAAATCAAGCCATTTGTGGTACAGAGGCAGCCCACCGACTTGGAACCCCT